CAAGTACTAACTAGTTACCTGTGATGATAAAGGCAGACTTGGGAGGGGTCTTGGTTTTCACCTGTCATTTTACAAATCACACACACTTAATCTCACTCCTATAGCAGAAAACAAATTAAAGTTCTGTAAAGGCTGATGTGTTTGCTGGCCAGTTTCACTGTAACTTGGTGCTGGTCCAGAGAAGGTACTCAGGAAATAATGAATGGATGGTGATTTCATGATTTTGGTTCAGGAGTTTCAACTTCTATAATAAAAGCTAATCAAAGGGCAGGGCAGGGATACGTTTTCTTCGCCTTGGCCTGTTTGACTCTATTTGTAAACTCCCTGTGGCTCATTCTCTCTTAAGGAGCAGGACCTCTTAAATGTAGATGGTGACAATCTCTAGACTGTAAGTGTCTTGAGGGCAGGTCCTTCAGATCCTCAGCATATATAACCCGTGTTTTGTAGGCATCATGGGTCCTCAGTCAATGTCTGAATAAGATGCACTTCTGTTTTGCAAGAGAAACTTATGGGGGGTTGCTATGAACTGGATTATGTCCCCCACCAGATTCATATGTTGAAACCCTAACCCCCATGTGATGGTATTAGGAGGTAGGGCCTTTGGGAGAAAATTAGGGTTGGATGAAGTCATGAGAGTGGAGCCCTCGTGATGGGATTAGTGTCCTTGTAAGAAGAGACACCAGAGAGCTTGCTCTCCCTCCCTCTCTCTGCCCTGTGAAGACACAGTGAGAAGGCAGCTATCTGCAACCCAAGGAGAGGATCATCAGAAACTGACCATGCTGGAACCTTGATCTTGGACTTTCAGTCTCCAGAACTGTGGGAAAATAGATTTTTGTTATTTAAACCACCCAATTTGTGGTATTGTGTTATGGCAGCCCAAACTGAGAAATACGGGGGAACTAGGAGTTCGGAGGTGGGCGTTCATGATGGTTGTCTCCAAATAGTGAAAGGCTGGGAGGAAGTCAGATATGGTTCATGTGTCCCCAAAGATCAGAATCCAAATGGAGAGGTGGAAACGGCAGACAGACAGAAAGCAACCCAATAAAAGGAAAAGGAACCTGATAGAATGAGCCGTCTCCAACGGTGATCAGGTGCTCGTCACTGGACATACCCACACGGGGACCATATTGGTGCTGAGAGGAGACAGGGCTGGAAGGATCCGAGCATTGCACTGTGAGGTGACCCTGTGAGGTCCCTATAGACCTTGAGATTCTGTGAGCTCATGGTGAATCATTACAAACAGGAACAATTATCTCTCATTTGTAGAGCACATTAAAATTTCTGAAGCATTTTATAGGTGCATTATCTCCTTTGATTTATATCACAACATTAGAGTTGATGCTCTCAATACCAGTTTGCTGAATGAGGGGATGAGGGAAGAGCCACTGCTGTCCCTTGGTTGGCAGAAGAGGGATATGGGGGCAGAGTGATTTCTAGATTTTCTAGTAAAGGCCAAGTCAGGATTGAACCCAGGTCTCTGCTGTACTCCTCCAGTCTACTAAACTTCCTCCAAAGTGGCAATGATAATACTTTCTCTGAGGTTGGTGTTTTTCTGTCTTTTTGTTTTGCGTTTTAGTAAATTCTTCAGCATCCATAGTCCCTTTAATGCTCACAAATGCCCTTTGAACCAGGTATGATCATTCTTATTTTACAAATGAGAATATTGGGGATTTGAGAGTTGAGTGGCTTTTGCAAAATCTCCAGCTCCCACTGGGCAGAGCATTGGGGTTGCAGGCAGTGGGTGTCTTCTCCAAGCAAAGATGAGCCAGTAACCTTGGCCCTGTTGGAGGTACAAGGAGATTTTGGCCACAGGCAGAGTTGAGGGAGACCCTGTTTCGGGTGGAAGTATAGCCAGTTCAGGGAAACAACAGTCAAACTGTCAGTTCATTATTCCACGCACTCTTGCCTAATCCTGAGCAATTTCTCAGCTGCTCCTTCTGCCAAAGCCCCTCTGTACCTGGTAAATATGCCATCTTAGGAGTTCTCAGCCCTGGCTGCCTAGGATAGTTGCCTGGGGACCTGCACGAAATACCAGTACCCACCTCACTACCACCCAACTCCAGAGATTAAGATTTAATTCATCTAGGGAGGGGGAGGGATCTGGGCATCAGTATTTTTTAAAAAATATTTTTAGATAGTCTACAATCACCGAATTGGTGTTGGCGTGGGCGGACTTGTGCACTGAGGTTCACGGATTATTGCCATGAGGCATGAAGGCTAGGAGCTGCTGTGTTCCCAGGGTTTGCCCAGCGCTGTTTGGGTTGCTTTTGATTTTGCAGAAATGACTTCGTTTCTCCTTCCCTCCAACCGTCCTGATGTGAGGTCATGGTCTAGTGGGACGCCACATGAATTTACACCACGACTTCGGTCTTTACACTCTCTGTGACCTCAGACAGGCCACCTTCACTTCTCTCTGCCTGTTTCCATTTCCTCCTTCGTAAAATGGAGACAATGACACTAGTTTCCTTTTAAGGCTGTTGTGAGCATTAACTCCTGAGACTACACCTGGCGAAGTTAGGCTTCCATAAGCCCTACCCTAATGGTTGTTGCTATCACTGCGGGAGCTGCATAATGTGTGTGTGTGTGTGTATAAATGTATATAAAGTATTGATTCTGGTTCTTTCCTGGCAGAGGTAGCCACTTCCTCCTATATGTAAGCGTATCACCACCTTGTATCTCTATTGTGGAGTTATAATGTGTTTTTGTGTCCCTAACCTGTTATATTCATTCTGCAAATGTCTATTGAACACTTGCTGGGTGTGGACAAGACAAGTAACTGTGGCCAAGTTACCTCTGGCCCCAGGGTAACTTGGGGTTTGAAGAGGATAAACAAGAGGAGGTGGACCCTATGGTGAAGCAGGCCAGGATGTTGTGGGAAGTGGAACCTTTCATGCCTCAGAGTTGGGGAAACTACCCTGACAGAGCTAGTTGTTTCTCCTATGTTATTTCTTTACCTTACACATAGGGCATCCTTGAACTTGCTGTAATTACTTACCTGTCTCCCCTCAAAGTTAAGATATAATCATTGCCTTCAGTTTAGGAAATGTGTTTGTTCATCTTTGTAAATGTAGTGCGATTCATTGATTTGACTGGATTCAGTTTAAGCAGCACAGCTTAAGACTCTGTGTTAAATCCCAGAGTGACACAGATGAAAAGTCCTGTATAGAAATCTTCACAGTCCTCTGGAAACTATAGACACACAAATGGGGACAGGTTTGGACCATCTCAGTTGCTGTGATAGCTGTTGATCCAGTGAGGAATGAGGACCCAAGGGTCAGCAGGCCCTTGAAAAATGTGTATGGGCCCGAAACAAACATGTCTGTGTCTCTCATTAAGCCCTGCTTTTTCAGGGTGCGGGACTGTGTCTTTTTTTGCATCTGTTGCCTCCCAGGGTTTAGGTCACTGTTTGACACATAGCAGGTGCACGGTGGATACACACAGAGTGGCTGGACAGACGACAGCTTTCCTCTGAAAGTCTGTCCTCATCTCTAAATGGAACCTTAGCCAATATTTTGAAGCTATCCATCAATGCTCGCATTCTAGAATACTGTGATGGGCGCTGAAACAATTCTCGCTCATTGGAGCTGCCAGAGAAGGTCATTATTTTGTGACGTCCTCAGACTCTCATCATTGCTAGAAGCTGACTAATTATGAGCAGAGAAGTACGGGCCTTGAAATGCCCCTGTCTGCACATCTGGCCTCACTGTCAAATAAAGTACTTATTTCTGATAAGCTCTTTTGGCTTCTGTGAAGCCGCCTGGCCGTGTCTGGCCGTGGGCGGTGCTGATAATGAGCTGAACAGAGAGCACAGACTGGGGGGAAAGTGGGGGCCCAGTGGGTGGAAAGGATGGGCTTTTTAGACCATTTCAAAGTAATGAGACGGCTTAGAGAAAGGTTAGAAATGTCTGCTACCACATTCGTTTTCTCTGTTTCCATTGAAATAAATGGAAGTTCTAGGTGGACTGAACCTGACCAAGAAAGGGAGTGTGGATAGGAAAGCTAATGAGAAATGCAACTCGGTTATTTTTGGAGTCCTTTGTACTTTCAGAGGATTGTACCCTGAACCTTCTTCGTCTAGACTGGATAAGCACCTAAGCACATGGCCACTCTGGACCATTCATATGGTGCTATAATTAATTTATCCCCTTGAGACTATGTAGTGCACATCTGTCTGTGTTATTAAGGGTAGATCTCCATCGTGACAATTATATGTCAGCAGCTGTACATGCTTTTATGGAAGATTATAGACTTTAGAAACTTTCCAAGAAACTGATGGAAATCAACGCCTTACTAACAGTGTATCTTTGTCGAGATGAGGAAACTTTGAGGTTCAGTTTCCTCATCTAACGAAGAAAAAAAAATGTGGACTTTTTAGTTTAACTAACTCTAGATGCTATAAAAATAAACTTCAATGTTTTAGTAGCTCAAAAGATGCCTCTCTCTTACTCATATAATAGTTTAAGAAAGGTGTTCCTGGTCAGTAAGTGGCTTTTCTTCATGCACTGATTTGCAGACCCAGTTCTCCTCTGTGTTGCTGTTCTGCCATTCCTAGGACCTTGATGTCCCTTTAGCTGGCAGAGGGAGCAAGGGACAGGAGAGAAGGCACTCCACTGCTTAAGCACATCTCCCTGGAAGTGGTGTACAATTACTTCACTTCCCAGGAACAAGCTCTAGAAGAGGGATGGTAACCACTCTCTGCTATAAATACCTTTCTTTATAGTGTTGTATAAGAATAGGTGAGGTTGGATTTATGAACATACCCTGGTGTGGTGTTTGCTGTAAACTATGGCTTTTATTATTTGTGGACTATTCGTAGGCACACATGGCCACCCAGGACCATTCATGTGGTCCTGTAATTAATATATCCCCGTGAGACTATGCAGTGGGCATCTTTCTGTGTGGCTAAGGGTAGATCTCCATTGTAAGCATAACGGCTAATGTTTATCTTCTGTAGCTGGATCGTGATTTACATTAACTCATCCCTTGCTGATGTCTTTCAGATTGTCTTTGGTTTTGCTGCTGTTACAAAGGAGACAACATGAATTCTCCTACAGGCTCACCACTCTGCGGGTTCTGGGAGGGAGACAAAGACATGTCATAGCATCTACTACTCTCAAGACACTCACAATTGAATAAGCTACCCAGGACACACGGCGTGCTTACCTGGCCAGAAAGTGATGACTTTCCAAATCGGAGCTCCATGCTGTGGGAGTTTGAAGTGCAGAGGGTCTGACCTCCCACTCCAGGTGAGATCGAGTCCCTTGCCTTTCCTGGGTCACCAGCTTCCACATTCTTCTTGGATTTCAGGGCCATGTAGAATGTCAGAGAGGGGCCCTCAGAGATCATCTGGCCATTATCATTCCACCCGCTTATAGATGGGGAAACAGACTCAGAGAGGTTGGATCACTTACGGAGTGATATGCAAATCCAGCAGACCTCAAATCCAGGTGTCCCTATCTTGAATTAAATTCTCTTGCCCTTGCATCAGGTCCCAGAGTGCTATTTTTCCAAACTTTGCCTCTGGGTGTGTCCATGTCAAAAGGACCTTGTGAGTGTGCTCAAGGTCAGTGGAGGATGGAGGAGAGGTGGCCAGGACAGAACAGATGGGGAGTCTCAAGAGACACCAAAAATCCTGCTGTCTGCTCCATGAGGCAGTAAGAATTGTGTTGTCTGCACAGGTACCAGTCAGCTACATCCCTCTTAATTTTTTTTTAACACAGATTAATAGGACCTGGACAGCCACTGCCTTGTTTATGTTGGTGACCATCACAGCCTGTCCATGCCAGACAAGAACCCAGTCTCTGGGGCTCTCACCTCCCCATGGCAGGATTGATGCCACTTGTGCTGAGCTGCAGGTCACATTCAACTCCTGTGCTCTCCAGGATTGGATGGAATACCAGCACATCTCACCTTCCTGCACCCTGGGAGTTAGTATCAATCTGTCAATAGGTAGATTTGTTTCAGAGATCCTTTTCAGAATCCTGCTGTGCATATGCTGCGGTGATGTTGGCTGCAGTGGTATTTATAACTGTGACAGATCAGAACTAGCTTCAGTCTCACAGAGTAGGGGAGTGTTTGGAGGCACCGTAGCACATACACAGAATTCATCCTTCAGCCATTTAAACATTAAAATGGTGGCTAAAAGTGACTACATCATGGGGAAAAGGGACAGGATGCAAATTGCTCATGATGCAATATGATAAGGAAAGAAAAAGATCCTGCAGAAGGTCAGATAAGGTCACTCCCAGATCAGCAGTCCTGTCACTATTAGCCGCTCTGTGCCGGGCACCTGGGCTGGAAGTCAGCAGAGGCTCTTTCAAGGAAATGGGCGGCTGCTTTCTGTGTTTGTCTCCACCATGAGGCTCCTAGAAGCTCCCTTCATTACTTCACGTAATTCCTCTGTAGCACTATCTGCAATGCCTTTGTGACTGTGCTAAGCAGTCACAGAGGGAGTCCTGGAGAAATGCCAGGGCGATAGGTACGGAAATGTTCCAGGTGGAAAAATCTCTGCTCCAGGTGGCCACAGCAGAGAAGGCCGGGGTCAAACAGGGAGTGTCTTGTCGGGGGAGCCTCAGCTCATCTATGACCTAGTGTCCAGCCCGCCTCCTGGGGAGAAGCCTGCGCCCCACATCTAAGCACTGTGGGCCAGGACGAGTGTGTCACAGACCCTTACAAATGAGAAAGCCTCGCGTCCTAGGCACAGGCGGTCAGTGTTGCTGTCTGTAGTCCCCCCACGCACCACCGCTTAAAATTCCCTGGATCTGGCAGCAGGAGGGGAAGGGCTGGCCCTGGAGAAGGAGATTGCTCCTTGACAATCCCATTATGATTCGTAATGATTGCAGCAGATGAGCCCTGAGGGCCCTTCCCCAAGGAGCCCTGCCCAGCCTTCCGGGGGGACCTGGCTCTGTACCTGGCCTGCGCTGCCCGGTTCCCAGTCATGCGGTCAACAATGCTGGTTTCCTGACTGTAGGGTGGCGTTTCCCATCTGCCCCCGAACTTCAAGAGCTTCCGCGTCTGGACCAGCTGGAGGCAGCCACTGTGCTCAGGATGCGGCTGCTGCCTCCAAGGAAGCGAGCCTTGAATATGGGCGTTACAGCAGGGTGGGGTCTGCATTACATTCATTCTTTTTTACATCCGAAAGATAATGGAAAAAATTTAAAATTGCTATAATTGTACCAATTTAAAAAATTAATATGAAGAAGAGAGAGTAACCAACACCAGCTTGAAACCCAGCCCGCCCCTTCTTGAGATAATCTCTATTATCAGTTTGGTAATTTACAAAAACCCAGTGGTGAACTGTTAAAACTCTTGGGGTGCGGAGGACAGCTCTGAATTGTAGGTGTGTCGATTTCTGTGGTGAAATCCCACCAGGGCCGATTTTGGACAACCAAAGGTTTAAAAACCAGTTTGCAAAATTCTTGAATATTTAACAGTTGACTTTTGCAAGCCGGTACATACTCAACAAGTTTTTGTTGCTGTTGTTGTTGTCTGTTTTCATTTTTCCTTTTGGGGAATTGGAAACTTATAATTGTACTGGTAAGCATGCCATTTTCATTTACTGTGTTACTGACGTCTTCCCAGACCAGCTCGTGCAGGTTCACTTAGCTCCTTTTGCTTGTGTGGCGGGGTTTCCATGAAGGCGCACCGTGTTGTCTCTGGACCTCTCTTGGAAGGACAGATTGGCCGGCCAGTAGAGGGGAGGTGACAGCAGCTTGGCACTCAGGGGCTGGCTACTGCGATGCTGTCCACATTTGGTTTTCCTTGGAGTTGACCGTAGCTTCTGGCCTCTTCTAAATGTGTTCTTCTAATAACCTGTAGCCTAGTCACCTCTGCAGGTGACATTTCCCTTCACTCTGCTCATTGCCAGATTCCATTAGGGAATCTCATTTTTCTCTTGGGAAACCTCTCTCAATACTTTCCTATTCCCCACACCCCCTCCCTGAGGCTGGGCAATGATTTCTTGGTACCCAGTTCTCCTGCGAGATTTCTCACCACACCTTATTTACTGCGAAACATCTACCTCTTTCCTGTCTGGAAGCAGAGAAGCTCTGGTAGGCAGAATGGTCCCCCTAAAGATGTTCACACCCCAATCCCTGGTGTTATGCCTATGAATATGTCACTTCACATGGCACAAGGGACTTTGCAGATGTAATTAAGGCTCCTCATCAATTGACCCTCAATAAAAAAAAAAAAAGTCCTGCATTATCTGGTGGGCCCAATGCTATCACATGGGCCCTTAAAAGCGGAGACTTTCTCTAACTGTGATCAGAGAGTTGCCATGAAGGATGCCAAGTGTGAGAAGGATTCGATGTGCTGGCTCTGAAATGTGGAGCCCACGTGCAAAGACTGGAGGGGGTTTCTGGTTGCTAAGGGTGGCCCCAGCTGACAGCCAGCCAAGAGGCAGGGACCTCCATCCTAAGGCCGCAGGGAACGGAATTCACAACAACGTGAATAAGCTTGGAAGAGGCCTCCCAGTGGGGGCCCAGCCAGCCAACACCTTGAATTCAGCTTTCTGAATGAAACCTGGAGCAGAGAAGCAGCTGAGCCAACCCACATTCTGACGCACAGAACCACGAGATAATTATGTGTGTGTTGTTTTAAACCGCAGAGTTTGTGGCGATTTGTTACAGCAGCTGTAGAAAATTAATACAGGTTCCTAGGGGTTGGCAACGCAGGTTCTGGGCCCCTCTCTTGACTTCCAAAGCATGTTTGCCCTCTCCCTGGGGAAACCTCAAGTTCCCTGTGGCTGCTTTCCCGTGCCTCACTCTTGCTTCCCCCAGCTCTCCTGAGCTAACAGGTTCTACCATCTTCCAAACACTTCATCTTCCCCGCTCCACCCACCAACAGTCACCACTTGGTAGATTTTACCGCTGAAGCGTGGGCCTCCGTTCCTGATTTCAGCCCCCCTGGGTTGTTACGGTAGCTTCCTTAGGGGGTCTCCCCAACTCCAGGTCCTCTCTCTTCCCAACCATCCTCCAAACTGCTGCCAGATGCATCTTCCTGGAGTGCAGCTTTGCACATGTCTCTCCCCAGCTACGGACATCCTGTGGGTTTCCTGTTCCCACTGAATCCAACACAAATCCCTCAGCCTAGAATTCACAACCTCTAGTCAGAAAAGGAGCATTGCCCCTCCAGTCTGTTTTCCCAGGACTCCCTCTTGTGCATTTTCATGTTCCTGCTGTCCCAGCCGCAGGTCTTTGTTCCACCAGCCCTGTGGGGCCCTGCTCACACACTGTCTCTTCCCTGCAGCCTTCCTGGGATCCCCAGATGCACTGCCGTTTACATGCACAAGACCCGTCTCCCCGCCAGACTTGCTTCCTGCCCCCAGGGGTGTTGTGCAGTGTCGGGAGCATCATGATACATATCGCCTGTGCTCACTCGCTCATCAGGAGATGCCCAGAGTGCAGGAGAAAGGCAACTAGACAGGGAGGGCCTCTCCACCATGTTGGGCACATGCCTACAATCACTCATGAAAATAGCTCTTAAGTGAGGATCTGGTGGGTTCCTTTTGCATTATTTAAAAATGGGTGCCTCCAAGGGCTTGAAAAAATCTCAGAAGTATTTATGGCACACTCTTCTCACAACAGCATTTGTATTTGTAGGGGCTGCATATAGTGAGTTTAAAGATGGCCCACACATTGGTAAATAATATTTTGCTATATTTAACAGTGTTACTATCACAGTTTTGTGAATAGCTGACTCACTGAGCACATATGATCACCATGAATTAGCTCATTTAATCCGTACAACAATGCTATGAGGTTGGGACTATTCGTAACTACATTTTATGGATGAGGAAACTGGGGTACAGAGAGGTTAAGCGATTTAGCCAAGGTTGCACAGCTATTGAGAAGCAGAGCCCAATTTCAAACCCAGGCAGTTTGGCTCTGGAACCAGTGGCCTCAATTCCCCCCGAGTTCTTTCTACTGCTACCATTTTGGTCTGTTTATGAGAGGGAGAAGAACCCTTTGTCCCTGGATGAATGTCATTATCATTAACATTATTGCTGTAGTTCACTGTTTGTTCCTATTTATAACACTTCACACATACACAGGACTTTAAAGTTTTAAAGGCTTTTCTCTTGATTCTCACACTGGACAGCCACAGGGATGTGCCTTCCCTGCCCTGGAATGTGCCTTAGGAAATAGACCATCTCCTTGGCTCCAAATGCACCCTCTGCTGGGAAGCAACATATTTCCCATACCCGATCCTAAACCCGCCCCTAAACCCGCCCCCCACCTTCATT